CGTCATCCTGAGATTGTGATTGCCACGCCAGGACGGCTCTGGGAGCTTGTTAAAGAAAAGCACCCTCATTTAAGCAACCTTCGGCAGCTCAGGTGAAAGATGATACCTCTCATTTACCTGCTGTAAACTGTTAGGTGACGTGGTATGTGTAGTGCCTTTCCTTGTCCCAGAATTCCATGCTGTGGTATCATCCTGATTCTGTCCTTAGAAAGCGAGGTGTGCATGAGAGAGTTGAGCCCCTCATTGAGATGGGAGTGTGCTGCCCGTATATGAGAGGTGTGGCTAAGGTGGGAGTAGGTCATGCAGATAATCCTCTTACCTGCTGCTCACTAACTAGTAATGTGCCTGTCTGGGTCTACAGGTGCCTGGTAGTGGATGAGGCAGACCGGATGGTTGAGAAAGGCCATTATGCTGAGTTGTCACAGCTGCTGGAGATGCTGAATGACTCCCAGTACAACCCAAAGAGACAGACACTTGTTTTTTCTGCTACCCTGACCCTGGTACATCAAGTTCCTGCTCGACTTCTTCATAAGAAGCATGTTAAAAAAATGGACAAAACTGCCAAACTTGACCTCCTCATGCAGAAGATTGGCATGAGGGGCAAGCCTAAAGTCATTGATCTCACAAGGAATGAGGGCACAGTAGAGTCGCTGACAGAGACCAAGATCCATTGTGAGACAGAGGAGAAAGACTTTTACCTGTATTACTTCCTGATGCAGTACCCAGGCCGCAGTTTAGTGTTTGCCAACAGCATCTCCTGCATCAAACGCCTCTCCGGACTCCTCAAAGTCCTAGATATCATGCCGTTGACGCTCCATGCCTGCATGCACCAGAAGCAGAGGCTCAGGAACCTGGAGCAGTTTGCCCGACTCGAAGAGTAAGTCAGGCCTTTCTCCGGATGCTAAGGCTATAGCCATTCGGCCAAGGGGAACCCAGGATGGTAGGAAAATGACAGGAAGTCACCTTCTGTCGTAGGATCCTTACAGTAGAAGGGAACATATTTATATGTTTGCTCAGTAATTGGCTAGGTCACCCTCATTTAGTGTATTTCTTTGCTATTATTAATGCCCTATAGAAATTTCTGTAAGTAATGGTGACATAATAGTGACTGCATTTACTATTATTGAACATTTAAATAACTGATTAATGTCCTATGCTGACACTTTGGGCACATTACCACATTCAGTCACTGCTAATGTTCTTGAGAAACAGCAGAATAAATTCTGATTAAGTGCACAGACGGAAACAGTGCTGTCAGTTAGATCGTAGCTCCTTCACTTCCTGGCTGGTCAAGTTATTTAACATCTTTGTGCTAAATTTTCTCATAATTGGGGTAATTACAGAAACTACTTCATGGAATTTTTAGGATAAAGTAATTGAGAATTCATGTATGTAACATACTTGCAGCAGTCTTTGGCACATAATATGTGCTTACTAAATATTAGCTTTAATAATTACTGTCAACTACTGCTATTCTCATTTTATAGATGAAAAAAATCAGATCTGACATCAGCTCAGCCAAGCTTTCTCTTCCTAGAACTGGTAGCACTGAGCCTCAGCCGTTTGTGTCCCGATTCCAGAGCCCATGCTGCCACTCATTGAGCTGCTTGTCCTTGTGTCTTTGGATCAGACTGCTGTTCAGGGAGCAGCGTGCAAAAAGGCTGGGGAAGAGCAAGGAAGTCACTGATGAGGTCAATGACCCAGGGTGTACATGGCCTCGCTTAAGTCCCTGGAAGGGACCTTGTCATTGTGGAGTGTGACATGTTGGTTGGGTCAGTGAGGCTGAGGTTTGGGTCCTGATGCTACCTGCACAGCCCTATATCATCTTGAGAAGTGAGTTTCTCTGACCCTATTTCTTTTATTCTTGTGATTTTTTTTTGTTGTCATTTTTGTTTTGTTTGTTTTGCTTTTGAGACAGGGTCTTGCTATGTAGCTTAGGCTGGCCTTGAATTGACTTATATAGCCCAGGCTGGCCTTGAACTTCCAGTGATCCTCTTACTTTAGCCTCCTGTGTGCTGGGATTGCAGGTGTACACCACCACACCTGGCTCCTGCTTCTTTTGGTTGTATCTGGTAAGATGGTTGTAAGTACTGTACTGTAGTGTTTGAAGTGTTCAGCAGGTAGTGGGAAATTAATGATTGCTCTTAGTTATGATTACGAATGTGCTTTCTGTCTCCATAGTTGTGTTCTCTTGGCAACGGATGTGGCAGCCCGAGGTCTGGATATTCCTAAAGTGCAGCATGTCATCCATTACCAGGTAGGGCTGCCTGGGGCTTGAACACATCTTGCACTAAATGGGGGATTTTTAAATCAAAGGTTGAAGGGAGAAGAGGAGTTACTGGTCCTGAGTTCCCCTGCAGTCATACATCACTGGCATCCAGTGCTTACTGCTGCCGGCTTTGGGACTACTGGTGAGATTCAGACTCAGGAAAACCTTCTTGGTCTCAATTGTACTCTAATGTGTAACCTTCTCTGCAAACTGCAGTATTCTGTATCATCGTTAGAGTCTTAGTTTCTTCCATGAAATGGATAATAAGTTAATGTGTCTTAGTTTTCTGTTGCTATAATAGAATATCTAAGACTGGAAGATAATTTAGAGAAACCAGATTTGTTTTGGCTCCTGCTTTGGAGGCTGGAAGGTCCAAGAGCACGACCCCAGCGTCTGCTCAGCTTCTGGGGGGAGCTGCAAGGCAGAAGGACAAGAAGATTACCTTGTTCTGTAGCAACAGATCTCACAGTAACTAATCCAGCTCCTTCAGAGCAAGAACTTCCTCCTCAAGAGCCCATTGATCTACAGGGGGCTCTGCCCTACGACCCAAACACCCCACATTAGGGCCCCACTTCCCAACCCTGCTGTGCTGAGGAATTAAGCCTCAGCATGAGCCATAGTAGAAACAGATAGCTGGTAGATAGAGCATCATGCTAATGGTTATCTTGGCATAGAGAAGTAGAAAGATACGGTAGTAAAGACTTCCCTTGGCTCAAATGCCAGCAGTATAATCTTCACCAAGTTATTGGGTCTCCCTGCACCTGTGGTATGTTAAATGGCAGTTACGATACTTACAAGTAAAATAAGCTGCAGTTTTACCAAAAGCTTAGTTACCTGGCTCATTGTAAGTGCGTGATAGTAGCAGTGTCCTTTGTGCACGCAGCTTATGTAGTAAGGGTACTTGCTAGGAGTGTGGGCTACAAAGCCAGAATGCCAAGCTTTGAATCCCATCTGATGTTTCATAGGTAAGAGTGAGTTACTTAGGCCTGCCGTTCAGTGTCATTGTAATGGTGCTACCTACCCCGTAGGGCTGTCAGAGCACACAGCACAATATAAGTACTCAGTAAACAGTAGTTATTATGATTTTTTTTTTTTCTCTGTAATCCTCTGTGGTTTTAAAAATCTTTTGTGTGTGCATTTCAGATAAGCAAATCCCTACCCATTGGGGAGGTGTTGGGTCAGTCCTTGGGAGAGAGAACAAGATGCAGGCCCTGAGAATTCCTGGTGTCACTTCCAGCATGTGGGAGGGCTGAGCAGGCAGAAGATGCTAGAAAGTTACAGAACTTTGTAGGAAAGTATTTCACTTGGGAAAGGATGTGGACATGCAGAGGGAGGAAAGGAAAAAGGAAAACATGTAGGATTGGGCAGTTTTGGGGAGACTGGCCCACAGTGGGAAGAGGGCTGAGTTGGAAAGGAGTAGGTGACTTTGCTGAAGCTGGCCGCTATCTTGGGCGTGGGTCTGTGAAGCCCCTGAGAGTCTGGGAGAGCACACCTTGATGGTGTAGCTGAAGAATGACATTTCTAGAAGCATTATGAATAGTTAGCAGTGGTTGCCTAGAGTACTATATGGAAAGAGACACCAGGGTATTTGCTGATTGCTGGGCTCGGGAAAAGACCAAGTGCTTGTGCCACATATGTGTTAGTTTCTTTTCTCTCATTTCTGAGACGGAATACTCTGACACCCAGAATTAAGGAAGGAAAGGTTTATATAGCTCACAGTTTGTGGAGCTGTCCATAATTAGCTGGCTTCAGGGCAGGGTGGCATGGCAGAAGATAGCAAAAGGTGGCAGTTCAAGGTGGCAGAAGACAGCAAAAGCAGCAAGAGCAAAATGGGAAGAACAAGCCTCTTGTCCTCCCTTACATTGTAAGCAGGCCATCACCCCCTAGAGTGGGCATTGCACTCATACATGTCCCTGACTTTTTTTTGGAGGAACTGGGGATTGAACTCAGGTCCTTGCGCTTGCCAGGGAAATGCTTATTCCACTGAGCCATCTCCCCGACCCCTCACTGACTCTTGTACAAGCTCAGGATATTTACAAAGTGAGGATCCTGGCTCCCTGCTGAGTGGCTTCATTAGACTTCTAAGTTTCTCAAGTCGACACAGTGTATCAACCATTAGAAGTACTATATTGAAAAAAATACCAAGCTTTCTGCTGGGCTCAGTGGATTTTTAGCACTGTTTTTTTTCTTGTGCATGCAAGGCAAGAAGAGCACTGCCACTGAGCCACCCCCAGCCCGCTCAATACTGTGCTTGACTAGTGGGTGTGCGGTGGGAGGTGGAGAGAAAAGGCTGTCAGCACCTGGGCCGCGTTGTCTGTGGGTACTGTGTCCAGTATGTGGTAAGATAGAGGCCATGTAGCCCCAGGGTTGACATGGTATCTAGAGCTGGATTGTTTCAGTTGAGTGATGGCTCCCCATCCTCTTAGTTGGGTCACCTTGGGGGAGGTTTGACCTCTGTGTTTCAGTTTTCTGGTCTACAGAATGTGGATAATCAGAAAGCATCTACTTCCTCCTGAGAGTTAAATGGTACCATACATGCATGGTGGGTATAGTGCAGTCACTCGGTGTGAACTGTGAGTACCAAGTACTGTGGAAAGAACCTCTTGCATTCCTTTGGCTACAACAAGGTGGTTATGGTCAGACATGACTCAGGAAGATGACACTGGGAATATGGTCTAGGGCATGGTGGATAGGAGTGGGAGGATTAGATACCAAATAAGAATTGACCGCCATGGTCCACCTGAGTGGTTATGAGGACTTGCCACAGGGCAGGGGCATGGCAGGGGCAGGGTCTACATCATGGAATAGATTGAATGTGGAACTGGGGCAGGTGTTAGACTGGTGGCACTCTGCTGCAGAGGTACTGCCTGCTTGGCTGGTAGGGAGGAGTGTCCAGTTTGGGGAAGTGGCTCTGAGGGATGAGGAGTGTTTGTCAGTGGCCGTGTCTGACCCAAGTTCCTGTTTTGGCAGGTCCCTCGAACCTCGGAGATTTACATCCACCGAAGTGGTCGGACTGCTCGTGCCACCAGTGAAGGCCTCAGCCTGATGCTCATTGGGCCTGA